TCATATTATATATATTATTATTTATTATATATATAATATATATAATATTATTAACGTAATACGTATAATAAATAATATACATATATATTAACGTAACACGTATAACAAAAATTATTTGTAAACTTACGTAAATATCATAGAAAAGAAAATAATATAAGTAGGATAAGATTAATCAATCAACATAACGTTACACATTATTTCCTTCTTCTGTTAGTCAAAAGTAAATTTATATATATGTAATAGGTGTCGGAACAACATCAAACAATATAATTACACAGGGTTTCTAAGAAGAGTTAACCTCATTTATTGGTCTACGTAAGATTTCGCTTTTTTTTTTTTAATTAAAATTCCATACACACACATTTATATTATTATTATTATTATTATTATTATTATTATTAGTATTATTATTACTGTTATTTTTCTTTCAAAATTACATCTTTTTTAGCTGGTTTCCCCCTCCCCTCTTTTTACGCGTATATTATTCGCATACGTTTAATATATACATATATGTATATGTATATAAAATTATTTAAATTTCGTCAATTAATTTGTAAAAACCAATTTAGCGTGGTCTTCTAACGATCATTAAAGTCAACCAAAATTATCAAGATTTATTTTATTATTAAAAAAAGAAGAAAAAGAGAAAGAAATTATAATAAAAAGAAAAAAAAAGATGCGAACTTTTTTTTAGGAACCGCAATGGTGGTGACTAGTAGAATTTCATTGGTTGTCCACAAGTTGGCACCTCACATGTTATCGCGAATAAACGCGTAAATTGCTTCGAAGTATATTATAATGTCTCGAGAATAAAGAGGAAAAGGAAGAAGGTGATAGGAGGGGTGTAAGGGGGAAGAAAGAGGAGAAGGAGGAGGACGTTAAGCAAAACTTGCAAATCATTTCCACCTGCGGTTTCTTAATCGACAGGTAATAAAGGACTTACTTTCGTAGTAATCATACGGTTCAAATGTTCATTCGATGTTTAATATATGTTAATGTTTTATATATTTTTTTTTAAATGTTCCTAGTCATGGTCGCGCGTTCTATTTTTCTTTCTTCCTTCCTTTTTTTTTATATTTTTTTTTTAACTGAGATTGAATCAATTGATCAACGTTTTCGATATAGAATTGTCCATTATATTAGATTGTCTGGAAAGTTTGTACCGATTTTTTTTCGATAGATGGCATATGAAGTTCTTTTGCTAAAAAAAAACCTGGAAAGTTTTGGAAAAAAATTTTAAAGTTACCCTTAACAAATTACCTGCCAATGGCGTTGTTTTGGGACGCATTTTCAAATTGTTTTTTGTTTTATTTAATAACTGCAACTTCAGAATGAAATTTAATTTGTTAAAATTATGGAGGGTAGAGGTAAGGAGCAACATCTCTATATATAAAAAGTGTCCGTCGAAATCGAACCAATTGAGGTGGCGCCACATTAGCATCATGGTAAATTTTAAAGGAAGCGCCAAATATTATTAAAGTAGGATTGTGAAATAAACAATTACAATACATTTACAATTGCTACATTCATACCATACCAAGTGTCTACACCAGCGTCATTCTGGAAGATTTTTGAACTGTTATTAACAGAAAACGCTGGACACTTTTTCACATTTTCTCCCATAAGAGATTTTACTCCTTACCTCTACCCTCCATAGTTAAAATCTCGGATTGTATCCTCGTGCTTCATGAAAAATATTACAAATTCATACTATTTTATTTTAGAATCAAATAATTAATGATATAAAATAATTTTGATATTTAAATAAATAAAAAAAAATAAAAAACAATTGTTGTAAAAATTCTATTTGGTTAACTCTAAAAAGTTCTATTTGGTTATTATGAATATCATTATACAGTTAATTTAATTTATCTTTTTATTGCATTTTCGTATTGTGGGTAATGGGTTAAAGATGGAAAAAGGTTGTGGAATAGAATGGCATTTTTATAAATAATTTAATAAATAAATATATATATATCCAAAAAATAAAATAAAATATAAATGCGTTGCATTTCAATCTTTCATCGACACGAACTTTTCGGACAACCTAATACGTTTTGATCCAACTTCTTCTGAACAAATGAGAAATCAATGATAGTAAACTACTTATATATCTTTTCTTTTATATATTGTGTATGAGTACCGGTGTGTGTGTGTCTCTCTTATCCAGAGAGAGAGAGAGAGAGAGTATGAAGAGAAGGTGGTGGTAAAAGTTATTGAACTTTCGTTTCTCCTTTTAATACGTTTCGAATACGATAAACGTTCCTTGTAATAGAATCGCTACGAAAATGGGAGATTTGAGATAACGATCTTAACTGTTACGCGACGAGTTATGTGTATATATATATATATATGTGTGTGTGTGTGTGTGTGTGGGTTAGTAACTTTTGTGTTGTACTTAAAAGTCAATCAAGATTTCTCCTACCTTTTATACTTTTTTTTTCTTTTAATCTTTACTATAAAACGATTAAAATCTACGTAATGTATCATCGTTAATAACAATTCTCGTTAACCAATCGAAATATAATCTTTTTTCTTTTATGTGTGTTACAAAAATCTGAAATATAAGTAGAGTGTATTAGAGTATTCTAATAATTGTTAATTAATCGAAAGAAATGTGTATTGATGTTTAAAAACATCGAGTATATATTCAAAGCACTGTCCTGTTCGAAATTCACCTTCAGACTGGCACGTTGTCCTCTATCAAAATTCTTATATTAAATGTTGTTTATATGACTTTACGTACATTACGCATGTGTGTAAAGGTAAAAATATTTCTAATAAAGAGAATTTAACATTCTAACGTTCTTATTTTATCATTTTTTTCATTCCAATGTAATTATTTTAACCGCTTCTGCGCAGTGATAACTTCGATGGTTAAATTATGTTGTAGTATAAGTAGTATGTATTAGAATATTAAAATAATTGTTAATTAATCGATGGGAATGTGTGTTGATATTTAAAAGCACGAAATATAGGTCACGAGTATCGTCCTCTTCGAGATTCATCTTCAGACTGGCCCATTGTCTTCTATCAAAATTCTCTTATTCAATATTGTTGACACGACCTTCCGAACGTTATGCATGTGTGTAAAGTGAATAATATTCTTAATAAATCAAAATGAAGATTATAAAGTTATGATTTGATTATTTTTTAACCTTTAATATATTTATTTGAATTAAAATATATTTTTTTTAACGATCATACTCAGTGATTACTTCAAAGGCTAATATTTTCGTCTAATATTATAAATACATTATTTATTATACAATATATTAATAATATATATTATATTTATTTATAGTATATAATATTATAAATAAGATTAAAATTAATTTAATATTCAACGTATAATAGTATGCAATTTTTAACCCTTAGAGTGTTATGGATGCATGTTTGTTAATATTAATGTAAAATAATCTAATGTTTATATTAATTAGTTAAATTATATTCAGAAAGAAAAACTTTAATTATTAAATATAATTTATTATTAAAATCTAGTTAATAATAAATTATTCCGTTTCTACAAAACATTTTAGTTAAAACTACTCAGCACTCAAATGGTTAATAAATAAAGTTACCTTTTTCGAAATATTTTTTATTTTATATCCCAAAAATCTGATGTGTCCACTTTTAGGCGACTTCCCCCTATATATATAATATTTCTCGTATGTATGCAAAAGTATTTTAACATCTTGTTCATCAAATCATCACGAATCACGTTGGAAATTGGGTTTCCTTTCGTCCCACTTTTATCCTTGAAACAACTCATTTTCACTTAACCTAATTATTCTCATTTTCTATTTTCATAAACGAAAAATATAAACTTCCGAGTGTGAAATCTCGTCGTCAAGATTTCGTCGGAAATCTTAAAAGAAAATCTTTTGCACGTGTACATACCGTAAAAACGAGCACAGAAAAAAGGGGATTGCCTCTTTTTCTTTTTTCTTCTTCTCCCTTTCTCTCTTACCTGTACGATTTATCGCGATTTATATCACTAACCGTGAAAAAAATAAAAAATAAAAAAAAAACACATACGGGAACAAACTCTGTTGCATTTTAATCGATATTTACATATACGAGAAGAGGTGGACATTGAATTTTGCATATTGATCGGCAGTTGTTGCATCGGATGCATATGTCGGATCGTTAATCGATCCACAACACAACCATCGAAGTACTCAATTTTTTTTTCTTTTATTTTTGTTACTTTGTAATTATATCCGGGGAGAGAAACGGGTGATATTCTCGAACAGGCAGTGCGAAAATATCGAGATTGAATTTTAAGATGAAGAGTGGGGATGGGAAGGAGAAATACGATCGAAACTTTTACTTTTCATCGAAATCAACGAGGTCATCATCATCATCATCACCATAGATATCATTTTTTTAAATTATATCATATTTATAATTAAAATGATTTCTTTTCTTCTTTTTTTTTGGATCATAATAATCCAAATAACATATTTTTCTGATAATTATTATAGATAATATTTCATTCATATAAATTATAATAAAAAAGATATAAAATAAAATATAAAAAAAAATTAAAAGATTCAAATTAAGATTAATTAAATATTTACAAAATTATTGAATAACGTATCGATACTTTTTTAATCACCCTATAATAAAATAATAAAAAATTAAAATTTATTAAAATTCTATTAACAAAAATTATTATTTAATTTGATTTTTCGATAAAAATCTATTATAATAAAATATAATAAATTTTATAAAAATATATATTATAATATTTTTTTAATATAAATTAAATAATTAATAATTAATTAATAATTTATTATATTTAT